AAGTGGCCTGTTATTAAGCTTGGATTTCTTGAGGAGAGATATTACCTAACAAATGCTGCTGACAGAGACTGCTCTTTAGCTATAGTTGCTAAATCTCACAGGAGGCTAACCACCTAATGGGGCCAATGACATGGAAAAAAAGAAAAAAAAAATGAGAAAAGACTTCCAACTGAAGCTAAAAATTGCATAGCACAAGCAAAAAACTTCTGGGAAAAAGAGGTGGTGGCACGTGATTGTCACCCCAGAATGCAAAATAGAATGCCTGCAAAGCAGGCTTAAATGGGACAAAAATCCTCTGTATTCTAGTGTGGGTGACAAGGGGATGGGAGAGAAGAGATGCCCTTTTCTGTGGGTGCTATGATCCTCTTACATCTGTAACACTAAAACTGCATTTCACCGCAAAGCTGTTGAAAAACAAATCTGCCCTACTACACATATCAACCCATAATACAAAACAGCAAATAAGAACAATGGTATCTTAGGTCAGCCTCCCCTGCACGCTGAATTATTTAAATACCAAAAAAAAAAAAAGTTGGGTAGGATGAGTACTATAGAACAAATATTCCTGAGAAAACAGATCATTGAATAAAATGGATTCAACAGAAACAGTAAAAGGAGGTCTTGCCTTTTACAGAATTAGAAGCGCACTAGCTACAACTGTTATGGGTGACTATACATGTAGTTAACAGGCAGACTCCTGGCATTGCTTCCCCAACCTATATGCACAGACTAGACCCAAGGGAATGCTCAGCATCACATTTCTCAAGAAAGAAATCTCTGCTGACCCTGACCAGGGAAACCATATTAAAAGTCTGCTAATAGCCACAGTACTTATCCACTGCTCCTATTACAGTCTGAATAGGCTCTAAGGAATTAAGATTCCAAGACTTGTCTTTTTTACATGGGGGCTCACTGGAAGACCCAAAGATCAGAGGGAAAAATAAAACAAACCCTGGCAGAAAAGCTTAATGAAGTATTACTATTAAGTATGCAGACCCCTGACAGGGACATTGGGCAACGCAGAAAGAGGAAGCACCTGGTATTGTCAAGTAAGGGACAACGAGTCACAGTCTCCATGATGGGGTTGCATAGTCTCCTCTCAGTTTTCTGCAGTAGAAAGAAAAGCCCCTTGGAATAATTTTTATGCAAGCAAGGAGGATTCTCTTATTAGTGGAGTCCTTTTGGGAATATGGGGCCACCACCACTTTTGTTTCCAGACCTGCGTGTGGACAAACACAATTCTACAAAAAGCTACATAACCAATCCTTTGGCTGCCTCTTCGCTTATGAGATTTCAGTGTTGTTGCATCTGTCATTTGGTTTTGTTCTTCTCTACCTTTCAGCATGCAAGGGGCAAGCAGCAGGCAAAATATATCTCTGCATGGCTCTTTCTGCCTTACAGGAGGAGTCACACCAGGATCAGGCAGAGTGCTTTCCAACAACATAGAGACACGCAGGCAAGAGTCACTAACCCCCTTGCACAATGCAGCCCCCCGCTGTAATGTACTGCAGCTGCTCAGAGGCAGCAAACATGGCAGCAGATCACAAGCAAAGAACAGCTTCCAAACAAATCTGCAGGTGGTTTTAAGGCAGCTGAATGGATTTGCCCCAGCTGGGATTTAGGCAGGACACCTTGACTAACACCTGTGAGAGATCTCATGGGATTGCCAAAGATTATGGGAATTGGGGACCACAGGTTATGCTTCAGATGACAGCCAAGCCCAGCACAGCAGTCCAGGGGCAAGGGGGGGGTCTCCCTCCCCAA